TTTTTTTTTGGCCCATGTGAAATTAGAATGTGATCTGTGAATTTGAATTACAGTATGTGAAATTGAAGTACAAATATAGCTCCCTTTTAGAATGGCTATTTTAGAATGGCTAAGGTTTTACTTGTTGCTTGAACCTGGGTGAAAGAGAACTAATAGACATTCATGGGTAAGGAAACAGAGTAAATGGAGGAAACCTGAAATGGAAAGAGGATGTGGAAAATGGCTCAATTAAATTCTAGTGCTTCTTCTATTAGTGAAGTTTCTAGAAAAAAAAAATATATCAAACGACGCAATGCACCTTGGGTCGCTATGGAAATAGCCTCCTTGTATAATTACAAGGGTAAGGTTTGCGTACAACTGACCCCTAGAACCCAACCAGTTGGGAATATACTGGGTATGTTGTTGTTGTACGTAGAGACAGCAGTACTAGAGAGAGTGAAGATGGCATATTTTGCATAAATTAGAATCTAGTATATATAGTGTGTGAGTGTGTGTGAAAGTCTTTATTCATAGTTTTAGATCAACTGCTATCCCTGTGCGTATTCGATATTTTTATCATGTAGTGTATATTTTTATCATGTAGTGTGCATTTATATTCTATATAGTTCTTGATTCCCTACTGGGGTGTTAAATTATGTGCAGGGTTGAAGATCTTCGTGGACCATTTGGTGAGTTTGGTGAACTCAAGGACGTCTACCTACCGCGTGACTACTACACAGGGTGAGTAGTTCTATATCTCTTTCAAAATGGGATGAATTTGAACTGCCTAAATAGAAAGGTTTAATTCAAGCAGCATTTGCTTGATTGTGCAATATTGACTCTGGCATAAATATTCAATTGTATTCCTGGAAGAATTTGAAAGTGTTGAGGAAAAGACTGAAGTAGTTAGAGATCAAGCTTATCTTAATGAACTTGAAGATTGAAGCTAAGTTGATTTAAGTTCAAGTCTTGAAGAATTCAAGTCTTGACTTTGCTCTTGTGAGGTTAGCTGCTGTGTAATTGCTGTGCTTTCATGAATTTTCTTGGTGCACGTGATTTTTCAGATTAATGATAACTGATGAAAACCTGCATTGTTAGTTTTGGGAAATTATTAGGCTGAAACACTATTTAGTATTTATCATCATGGGTAACCTCTGCAGGGAGCCTCGTGGCTTTGGTTTTGTGCAATATGTTGACCCTGATGATGCTGCTGAGGCAAAGTATCAGATGAATGGTCAGATTCTTCTGGGACGAGAGTTGACTGTTGTATTTGCCGAGGAGAACAGAAAGAAACCTTCAGAGATGAGGGCACGAGAACGTATAAGGTAAATGCAATTTCCAGACACGATCTATATAACATTTGGAGAACTTGTAACCAGCTCATATTACATAAATGATTGTGACATTGCAGAAGGAGGTCGTCTCCAATTGGTCGCTCTCGTTCACCTCGTTATGGACGTTCGTATTCTCGTTCACCACGCTATGGCCGAACTTACTCACGAAGCCCTAGTTATTGTTCTCCCTCTCCTAGGAGAAGACGTTACTCAAGGTGTGTAGCAATCAAGTAGAAGTCCTTTGCCTTGAGTAGGGCTGCAAACGAGCCGAGTCGAGTCGAGTCGAGCATAGGCTTATCGAGCAAGATTGATTTTTTTTTTTACAAGCTCGATTTGTGACGCTCGAGATCGACTTGACAAAAGAAGACAACCGCTCGAGCTGAGCTCGAGATCGATTGAAATCAAAATGCTCGAAAGATCGCTCGAGCCGAGCTCGAGTTCGACTTAAATTTCAAGTAAAATTACCTTTAAGTACATATATAAAATATTGTAATTGTAATATTTATATATAAGGGGTATTTAGTAATTCACTACATATCTCTCGCTCGCTCGAGTTTGATAAAGTAAAATTTACCTTCAAGTACATATATAAAATATTGTAATTTTTATGTAAGGGGTATTTTAGTGATTCATTACATATCTCGAGTTGCTCGACTTTTCAAAATCTATGTTCGAGATCGACTCGATAACATGCTTGACTCGCTCGAGCTCGGTTCAAGTTCAGTCAAACTCGAGCTGGAGCCGAGTTTCGACTCGAGCACTCGCTAGCCATTCAGTTTGCAGCCCTAGCCCCGAGTGACAGATGAATCTTTGGGAGCTTTAGGAGATTTTTGTTTCATCAGTCATTTTTTTTTTT